AAATCAGGCAATGACCAACTCTAATTAACTAGACTGCTTCCAATGGCCCAATATAGTTTTAGGGTCGGGTCATCAACCTTAGGTGGCGATATAATAATTATCCAACATCGGTTTTACATCATCGCCCGGATTTATTGGGTATCAAAACCCAACAGGATGATTTATGTAGTTGTGACATGTCTTGCATAGACCTAAAGAAATTTTCATTCCAAAGAGTTTCATTATCCTAGTACAACAGACTAGAAGAGGGAGATATAGACTAGAATAAATATTACCTGATTTGGTTGCAAAATATTTAAATTATTTGAGGCTTTCAGTAGATGCAGTATTCAATCCAAGCCAAAAATATTCACGTAGTTGACCCCAAGTTTATTGCGAATATGACTAAGTTATGTTGCAGATTTTAATTCTTCAAGGACCTTAAGGAAGCAGGATGCATTCTTGGGTTTTCTTGGTCAGCGGGTGGCATGAGCAGGAGTTTAAAACATAAAAAAAAAAAAAAAAAGTATGTTGACCAATTGGTAGAAAAATTCTAAATTAATCTGTTCAAAACATTTATAAGAAAGATCTGAGAAGATGAATGGTTTAACTCACGTTTCTAGCTTGAAAAAAGAAAAGCTTCCCTAGAAAATTATTTGTTCTTTCATTCATATAAATTTAAAAAGAGTTCCCGACATTTCTGTTTGTAATTGGTTGGTTCATTTTTTTGCTTGATGGTATATATGACTTTCGTTTCTCTCCCAAAAGAACCATCATCTCACTTGATCAACTTACATAATTACCTTACCTAATTCAAACTCTCCACCCTATCCAAATTTATCACCACATGGCTCTTCTCCAACCCAATGGAGATTGTGGCTACTGTTGTAAGTCTTCAATGAAAAACCACAATTTGAAGACATCCTTTTCTTCTCTCTTATTGTTATATCTTCATGTTACTTCTTTCAACTCAATGATGAATGTATTCTCAATGTAATAAGGTGGCTGCTGGTCCTCCTTTTTCTAACGTACTCCTCTCTTAAATTGCTTATTTCCTTTCCATCTCCTTATTAAGAGTACGTTTGGAGAGATTTTTCTAAAATCATTTTCAACCCCACATTCTATGAGACCCATTATTTTCACTACTGTATAACCAATCATTTTTCCACCCCAAAAAAAATCATTTTTTACTTAGAAAAATCTTCCAAACAAAGTGTTTGGTAATTTGGTAAATTGACTATGTTCTTTTTATTAGTTTTCCCACTTCGATTAAATATGTTTATTTTTTGGAATATGTATATAACTTGTAGTTAGGTTTTTCTCCATGAATCAGCTGGGCTGAGTAACAGTGTCACTTCACATAATCTAGTTTCCTCATAATAATAGATCAGACAGGAACGTCTACGAACCTGATAAATATATTATCTATTTCGCTGGAATTGTATATTGCCCATATCCAGTGCTTATTTTCATTGAATTATGCCGTTGAAAAGTGAAAAAGATAACCCAAAAAAAAAAAAAAAGAGTTTGGCTTTTTCTGGACCAAAATAATGTACAGATTGCTTGAAGATCTTCTTGTTATCTCATTCTCCATCTATATCTTAATAAGTTGTTTATGTGTTCATCTAAGTCTAATAGCTATCTTGATTTTTATTCCAGGCAGAATTTGCTGCTTCTGCCGTAGATTTTTTGCATAGTGGGTCGTACAGCTAGAGCAGGTCAACCTGGCCTTGTTACAAGCCTGTATACAGAAGCAAACCGTGATGTCGTTTCTGCAGTTCGTCAGGCTGAGAAGCTGGGTCTGACCATGGTAATTTATTGAGAAATGCTACACCGACACACTTCGTACACAATCTTCTACACAACCCTCTCACGTGTGTGTGGAGCTCAGCTCCACACACATGTGAGAGGGTTGTGTAGAAGATTGTGTACCAAGTAATCTCAGTGCTTAAGAAGAAAAAAGGAGCTTCCGAAATAAGCTTAAGAAGAGAGGTAGATCTAACTACTATGCTTCTTGTCCTATTCAAGCACAGCATCTGCAATTCAATATGGATAAAAATTCGCATAAGCTAGTGTTAGAGAAGTTCCTGAAAGAAGTAATCTCAGTGCTGAATTGCATGCCGTAGGAGAGAGTATACGACTAGTGATGAGTATATATTTTCATGCATCTCCTTAAAATAATTATTCCTGTTCTTAGCAGGTTTCAGTAAATGCAGTGATGCTTCATCCATTCTCCTGGCAGTTACAGCATGATGGTGGTGTATATAGAGGCGAATTAAGTTTCATGAACCTGGTGTACAAGGCTCCTACTATATAGCTTTGTCAAGTTAGATGTGTGAGGGCAAGCGGGCTTACACATGTAATCTTATGCTATTTGTTCTTGAGGAATTATTTTTAGCCGGGTCCAGGCAGGAGGAAAGTAGGTTTACTTTTCGTTTGTGTATGAGAAAAACACCCCAAGTAAAATTGCATTAAAGGGAAAATCATTTTGCAAACTGAACTCCAAATGCAATGTTAATTTAAGCATCACATTGCATTGGGTAGCGTGTTAACCTGGAATTTATTGCTATGTGGTTAACATTTTTCTTTACTTCGTCGTTAAAATAAGCATCGAATCGATACATGTCAAGTGCATGGCAGCTTGCTCATTTATCTGGTTTACCTTAGCATATTTCGCCTCTATCTGGTTTTACGCTAGCATATTTTGCCTTCAACAGAAGAATTTAGCTTTATTTTGTAATGCCTAAAGCAAGAACAAGGTTCAGATATTGCAATACAAGAAGTAAATTTGTAATAAACAACAAAATTTTACGATATAAGCCAAATTGCAAACTTCTACATGTCCCGAAAAGATCCACAAAATTACTGCTGGAGATTCATCAAGGCATAAAGCAAGACGAATGCTCGACTACCAGCAGCCTGTGTTTTAGCAAGATGAATTCAGTTCTCCTAAATGATAAAACTTTAAAATCCTTTATGTCTGCAAATAAAACGTTGTCGGAAGCAACCAACAACGGTTTGAGAACAGGCCTAAAGTCCTAGCAGCCTCAAACCACTACATCAATACGCTCAAATTCAATCAACGACATATTGGCATCGTCTTTCACTGTGAAACTGGCAGGCTCACTAACTTCAACACGGCCGAATCTGTCAACTGCAAGCTTCATTGATCCCTTAAACATGTCGATTTTCGCATTTGACAAGACAAGGGTGTTGCCATCTTTCACCAAGTCCACTAAAGACAAGACAGTTTGTCAGCAAAAAAAAGCATACAAACAAATTAATAAAGAACGGAAAAGCCCAGTACATTTTACAACAAATTGAAACAAACATAGGAAAGGAGAATATCAGCATCCAACTAAAGAACAAGACATCATAAGCTACTATCTATTATATGCCTAGCAACACAATCCCGTTGGAGGGATTTAGAAACTCCAAGTCCCAACTACGAGAATACAATAATAGAAATGGATGGCTATCGAAGGACTGGGAAACTCATATGTCGTAAGTCCAAACAGAGGGCATATGCATTTTGAACAAGATCCTAAAGATAATGTAGATTATCTCCATCCTTATGACTCGTGAACTTGTCTCCAATTCCCCACCATTGTGGAATGAAAACAACCACCATCGTATCAACCTAGCCTACAAAAAATCTTTTTGCAGAGTCTAAAAGAATGAAGTATTTTATGGCATAAAAGAAAAAAATTTCGAAACACAATTTTCCCAACACATCCTCCGTGCTTGCAGCATTTGACGGTCTACAATTAATGGGCAATACAAGACCAGAGAAACCATATCACCAGGACAAAAAAATAATGTGAACCCAGAGGGATGAGGAAGTCAGTTTTCCAAGATAAACAAACCATATTGTCAGGTGAATTCCTGGGTTAGATATAGAATGAGGTCTGTTAAATCTAATGAAAAATTTAGGTATATTCTCTGGAGATTGTGAGACACAAGTGAGTAAATAATTACTGTGGGTTTTCCAGCTTCCCCACAACCCACCCGACTCCACCCCCACCCCCACCCCCACCCCCACGCCTCACCTCCACACCCCCAAAGCCTAGCCTGACCGTACCACCACAAGCTGACGGCAAGACGGCTGCCCATCTGTGGGTTAACGCAACTGCCACCACCCTTAGTTGAGTTTTAACTTTTAGCGTTCTTCATTTAAAAACACAATTATTTTTGAAATTTCAGTAGCCACATAAAATCTTCATCCTAAATTTGTTCAGACAAAATAAATGATAAAGGAAGTTAAAGAGACATGGTGTATGAAAGACAAGGAACTGCGACAATTTTTCGGCCAAGATCCACTGCCTCGATTTATGCAATTTCAAATTCTCCGGCAATGAACATAAAATCTGTGAAATTAAACCCAGACTGAAAAATGATTTATGCAATGTACAATCATCAGAAAATGGCTGCAAGGGAATTCTCTGCTTGGGTGTGTGTGTGTGTTCTCTAATTTTGCGGATCTTGAAAATGGGTTTTGATTGTGTTAATGGCTGAAATGGGTTTTGATAGGTTGTCTCAATGGTGGAAAGGGAGAGTTTATGGGTGCTACTTGGGCAGTGAAGGGATTGAGGGGGTTGGGGCCAGCAGACTTGCTGCTGGCAAGTGGTGAATGCCGTTTTTCCGAGTTAAAATTTTCCCTTTTTCTCTTATATTTTGCTGATTTGGCCTAAAATAAGGTCTAAATTGTATCAATTCCATCAAAGCCATGAAAATGAATCCATCCTAGTAATGGATGAGTAACTCGTATTAATATTCAATGACCATTGAGTTATGTTTCAAAGTTATTACATAATAGCATAGTTTGGTGATCATTCATTTAATTAACACTAATTAATGTCGAGCTCGTGCTTTTCTCATAAGAAAGATGCAAAGATCAAACTATCAATGCCAACACAATCTCCATCAACAATTCTTGAAGAACACGAAGAAATAAAGAAAATAAAGTGAAACAAATGAAAAAACTTAGTACAATGAATGCACAATTCAAACTTTATTAAAATCATGGAAACAAATTGCCTTTGTAAGACAACTGCCTTATCAATCAACATTCAGACATCAGATAAACAACAGAGTCTATGCAATTAAAAGTATCTACTCGCCATTCCGGAAATAATAAGAACCAACCTTGATCATTTCTGGCAGTAAAGATAATAATTCCCGTATCATCTCCCACCAAGCATTCAGCAAGGCGCCCTTGAGCACGACCTCTCGGTGCTATCATCTTTGCATTGACAACCTTTACAGTTAAGTTAAGCCCAGAGTCTAACGGGCGCAGCTGGTTGACCTTGGTGAATTGCTTCTTCTTCTGGTCAGCCATTTCTTATTCAATTTTTTTATTTTTTATTTTTTGTTATGAAATCTTGTTTTCTTAAAATCTACAAATTTTAAAATACACATCAGAATATCCAAAATTATGCTATCAGACAAAATTAGACAGAATCTGCAGAGTTGCACAAACTAAACTGATGATATACAATTAGATTTCTTTTCAAACGCATCAAATATCACAAGATGAACCAGATGAAATTATGGGACACAAAATAGAATTATTCAATAAGAGAGACAAAACCTCTTCATTTCAAATCTAACAATGTTTAAATAAATTTAAAACCACAAGAAACTCAAATCAAGCATTGATATACTTATTTAATATTATTTGCTTATTTTCTTTTACTCAAATCTGAAAAAGGTGCCAACTTTGCACATACAGATAATTTAGCAAACCCATAAAGCCAATACCTTTCAGAACTGCTAAAACCCATTAAATCGAGAATCGGCATAATCAACAGCCGATTCAAAAGGGTGTGGGGAAATCAAAATTAAAACGTTGCAATTCAAGCAGATTAAGAAGTCGGTAAAATTTAATTGAAATTAAGAATTTATTTCTAGATATAAGGTAAATCAACTGGAATAATTTTTAAAAAAATGTGTATGAAAGATTTAAAGGAAGCCCACCTGTATTTCCGTAAGAAATTATTGAAAAACAGTCATATAGAGATGAACTGTTGTATATATGCACAGGGTAGATGGAGCGGTTTTGTCTCGGCCAGCCCAAAACCAAAGTGGAATGTCAAAAGGATTAAACTAGTTATACTTGTACACACTTCGCCAATGTTTGATATCCAATTTTTTTTTTAAAATACGTTTTTCCCATCTTCTTTTTAACAACACATTTTTTAATAAAATAATACTCACACAATTTCAAAATGTTTCCTTATTTTTCAGCTACACATACTCTACCAATTTACTATTTCAAAAAACATTTTATACAAAAAATGGGACTCAAACAAACCCTTGATATACTAGTCAGAGTTGAACGTCCATTGTACGTTATTCTAAAATATTTTATAAGTACTGTAAAAATAATATTTAATACTAATTTGTTGGGAGAATTTGATGAGTCTTAAATGAACTAAATAGAATTGTAGTCGGATAGAAATTTAAAAGAAGAAAATTGCACTCTAAAAACTCAACTTTTATTATTTAATTTTTTTGTGATGATAAAATACTACAAATGAACAATTTTTTATACCACATTCGGTACATAAGAATTCATTACTAATACATGAATTTAAATACCCATAAAGAGTCCTAGATATATGCATAGAAATAAATTTAGTTATCAAGTCAACATTTATTGTGTCTAGATTAAAGTGAATGTTAATTAATTGAGAATTAGTAACACGAAATTCATACATGACAAAGATTTTGTAACATTTAGTATATATTAAAAAATGAAAAGTAATGTATTATTAAAATAATTGAATTGTATTCGGATAGAAATTTAAGAGTATAAAATTGTATTATCAAAACTTAACTTCTATGATTAAAAAATTTTTTATGATAAAATACTATAAATGAGCAATATTTTTATACTATATTTGATACATAATAATCAATTGCTAATACATGAATTTAAACATCCATTAAATTTTCTAGATATATGAATAAAAATATATTTATCTATAATAACTCTAGATTTATGTAAATCAAAATTCATCAAATCAAGATTTATTATGTCTAGATTACTATGAATGTTAATTAATTGAGAATTAATAACACGCAATTCATGCATGACAAAAAATTTGTAGTATTTATTACATATTGAAAAGCAAAAAGTAAAATATTATTGAAATAACTGAATTGTAGTAATTAAAATTGTTCAAAAAATTATTCTCATTTGATGTGATATTTAATACATTATACATATATAAATTAAGTTTAATACTCCATGTATTGTCAAAATTTGCACAATTGATTATTAAAAGTATTGTTAAAATTAAAGTATAAAAAGTTGTCACCTCACAATAATGTCAAATTTAATGTCAACAAAGATATTGGCTATATTCAACTTTATGAAAGATCATGAAAAGACTTCTACTGAGATAAGTGAACACCAACTCAAGTCCGATGAGCGTGAATACCAATAAAATCTTTCCCAAGTCCTCATGGCATTTGTTTTTCTGAAAGACTGTAGGAGAGTAAAGTGGAAAGACTTCATGTCAATCTAATGTCACACACATATGAAAAAAGATCTCTATAGGAAGGTATATAGCATGATTGATGTTAAAAATAAGAGTAATACTAGTTGCACCATAATTGTGACATAAAAGAAAGAGAAATATTATAATAATTGAATTTCTTGATTTTCTAGAATTAATTTATCTTTAAAAAAATAAATATAAAGGTTTATTGATTGTAAAAAAATGCATGAATAAGACTAGATTACAAATCAATAATTGAAATAGGTAACAATAGACAACACACTCTAAATCTAATACAATCATCCATTCATTCATACAAATCCAAATTTTACATATTTCTTAGATTAATTTAGCAAAATAAAATCAAAAATTTATTTTGCATTACATAATTCGAATTACATACAAGACTAGTACACTTGAATTGAAATTTACCATTTTTTTCCCTTTCATGTCATCATTTTGTACACTATTATATACAAATATCATTACTTTAAAAATCGATTATGCTACATGTATATAATAAGTTTACATAATGATTTACAAACACATGATAAGATGAGATATAATTTGGTCGAGATTTCTTCAACCAAATAAAAAAAAACATCTCCACTCTCTTTTTGACACTTCACTTGCATGTAAACCATTATATAACTACTTATTTACAAGTAGCATTATTCCTCCAAATATAAATGGGAAAATTAGCTCTAACCCTATATATAGGCCCTGTTTGAGAGGGATTAAATTTTTCTACAGTAAATCAATTCTCATTTTCAACCACACATTTTTCAATAAAATAATATTTTCCATCACATCAATAATTTTTTCTTCTTTTTCAACCACACATTTCCCATCATATTATATATATAATTTTTTTTTTTCATAATATTTTTCATCACATCAATAATTTTTTCTTTCTTTTCAACCACACATTTCCCATCATATCACTATTCAAAATCAATTCTTCCCCAAAAAATCTCTCCCAAACAAGCTCATAAACTATACTATTCAAAAGTAAGTTGGCATAGTTCTAATTTTACAAATCTGGCGAAAATTCAAAATTTTAAGCCCCTATTTGTCTACCATTAATCTAAGACATTGTTTGCTACAGTAAAATTCTTCACCACATATTCACTCAATAAAATATTCTACACATAAACCAATAAAGTTACTTTAAATTTCAACCACACATTCTCCAAAAAATACTATTCATTACACTATTTTCAACCCAATAATGGTAGACAAATAGGCTCTAATATTAAAAATAATATTTATTTATGTACCCACCCAATCCTACCCCACCCCGATTTTTACTCACAAACCCTAATTACTTTCATCTTCTCCTTTCTCTGTTCTCTCACTTCTCTACCTCTTTTTCTCTCTCTTTATCTCATCGAAAGGAGCATCGCTACACCATGGTGGCCTGAGCGCCGTTGTAGCAGAGGCATCATAGCACTTCGCGCCACTGCAGCAATGGCATTCTTGGATTGCGCACAGTGATTGTTGTGCACTGCGCACAATGATGATGATGTCGCCGCGCAATCTGGGAAAAATTTGGAGCTGTTGGATGTCAGAGTTTTATGAATGGTATTTGTTGATGATGTTCGCAGTTGATGGTGGTGGTGCTTTTTGTGATGGTGAGGTACGACAGTTATGGTATAGGTGGTAGTGGTGCTTGCTGTGCTGGTGAGGTGCTACGTCGGCGACTGTGGTGGTGATCACAAATGGTGGTGGTAATGATAGTGGTGGGGGTAGGGGTGATGCAGGTGGTGGTGTGGTAGGGATGGATATGTAGGTAGGATAGGATAGGATGAAGAATATTTATGACTAATTATTTGGATTATTGTGATCAATAAATTGATTTAACTTGTGACTAATAAATCATATGTGATCGATAAAATAGATATTTTTTTGTGATCAATAATTAATACGTGGCCTAAAAAATGTGAGATTGTGACTAAATTCGTAGTTGTGACTCAAGATTTTTTATGTTTTGACCAAGTAATTTGATTGATAATTTGTGATCGTGAAATAAGTTGCGACCTATAAAATTTATGATTTTTTTATCAAAAAATAAATTGTGATCAATTAATTCATAATCGATAAATAACTTGTGATTAATTAAATTTAACAATTTGTGACCGTGAATCAGTTGTAACGTATAAAATTTGTGATTTCTGATCGAAAAATATGTTGTTACCTATAAAATAAGACTTTGTTCAATATAAGTTGCATAAAAATGTTACTGTTAGATAACATGTCACAATGAACACATAGTCGCAAACATTTACATTGAAAATAGACCTAATTACAAATAATTACAAATAACACAAAATTGGTCACAAAGAGTTACAGTTACCCCATAAAAGGTCACAAATAGTCACAATTAACAGAAAATTAGTTACACTAAATCCATTGTTCACAAAACCCTAATTTTAAGCAAGGACCTGCAATTTCATAAATTGCAATAGAGCCCCCAAGTCATCACCAAACCCTAATTTTCCCGACTTTTACTCTATATAGCAGGTGGATAAATCCTAATCCCCCCCAAATTTTCCTCTGCGACGGCGGAGGATGGCCATAGGCAGTGCGCCATCTTTGGTACACTGTCGAGGCGATGCTGCCTCATTCTTGCAGAGCCGCTGCACACGGTGCTTCGCTTGTGGTACCGATGCTATTTGACAAGGAAAGATATGAAATTATAATATAATATCTTAGAATCGACATCTAAATTTGTACTTACTTGAAAATGTTACCCACTTTGTCATGAACATCATGAGTTTAGTCTTTTAAACTAAATTTCATGTAGCATAGAGCTTCTCTTGTAGTGCGAGTT